TGCAACTAACCAATCATAAATAGAAAGGAAGTGACCAGAAATGATTAAATACTTGGAATTGGCTCCTTCACAGGAAGTGTATGAATATCTGGAGGAACTTGATGAAATGAGATGCTTGTGTGATGTTACTCTGAGTGTATATCCACACCGGGCAGGCTTGAAAAATATGCCTGGCCACAGTGGGATTTGAACCTATGACCTTTGGAATACTAGCCCAAATGCCAATGCTCTGTCAACTGAGCTACGCGGTCAGGTCGGTTTGAATCCCAATGTGGCTTGGCATATTTTTCAAGCTTGCCCGGTGTGGATATGCACTCAGAGTAACATCACACAAGCATCATATTCACAAATATCATGGTTATTAGATTACACTGATATCGAAGGAACTAGACTCAGTTCCGAAATATCGCATACTCGAACTGCCCCGACTGTATAGCTCAGCTGGCAGAGCATTGAGCCAGTATTCCAAAGGTTGTAGGTTCAAATCCCACTGTGGCCAGGCATATTTTTCAAGCCTGCCCAGTGTGGATATCCACTCAGAGTATGTAACATCACACAAGCATCCTATTCACCTGAGTACATGTATTACACCAACACAGCAAATATCTTGATGGAATGAATTGGTCAGCCCGAGGTAATGTATTGAATCAATATTTGAGGAACACTTAAAAATAAGGTATGAATCGCATAAAATGCAGATATCAAAATCAAACATTGTAACTCGAGCATAAAAATGTGCATATTTGTTTTAAAAGGCGATTGTTCCTTGAATGTTCAATGAAATAGTGCCATTGCCTTTTACAAGGAAGACCATTATAAAGAAATACACTTGACTTTTCTTCATTGCCATCTGGTACTTAGTACAGATATCCCATATTTTCTTGATAAATTCATACCTGAAAGCGGAATACATACAGGTGTAAAAAACTTTAATGGTGATATAAGTGCTTTATATTCCAAAGAGTTGCTTTTCCCCACAATTTACTAATAGAATAAACTGGTATTAAAATCTCTAAAAAAACCTTTGTCACTCAGGGAAATTTACATTGGGAAATTTATAGCAGTACGGTTTTCAACAAGCTATATTTGCTTGATTTTACTTGCTGGGGATTGTTATAATACTCGTGTTTTAAAGAATAATCTTGATAGTCAGTTGCAACACAAATTCACAATACAAGAATTGATAAATCATTTCAATGACTTACATGCTTTGTTCTTGTGGCCGTCAAGCTCCATTCATGTCTTTTTTTATTAATGGCTTTCGGTCTTTATTGATTTATACGCGCAGTTAGAATAATACTGTATTTTCAAAAGGACGAAAATCAAAAATATACTCTCTGTCGATCAACTAATATAAACATATAAACCAGTGAACTCTAACTGGAAGGCTAACTCCTATGATGAAAGTCTATGATTCGTTGAAGCCGGCGCGCGGGAAAATCAGCTTTCAAAAAGACTAAGGAGAGTTTCGAGGAGTGAAAAAAATTCTGCCAAAAGTTTGTTTTCGAGCAAAAATTTGCAAGAAAAACACTTTTTCCATGGGAATACAACAATGATTGGGATTTAAACCAGGTTTTCCGATTCGTTCCAACTGTTTTACATCTCTCTGCAGCAAAAAGTAAGGAGTTTTGCTTTTGTATTTTGAAAAAATGACGAAAGTTTGGACGTGCCGAAGGAAATCTCGCCGTTCAACTCAAAAATATATACTATAAAACATTTTGACAGTCCCAAAACTTATATTGTACTAAACCCTAGGTATTGTTATTGATCCTGAGCTTTTAGTCCTTGTTTTAGTCGCTCTTAAACATAAATAAATTGGCGTTTTTCAAGTGATGTTATTTTCGTCATCGGCATCTTGTTGGCCACTATGAGCACTTTGAATATGGCAATATTTTTGTCAATTTTCAAATACTTTTTTTTCGACCTTAAAACGTTAAATCTTCTTGAAACTTCGCATACAGATGTATTTTGCATGGGTATAAAAAATTCCTGAGGTATGACGTCTTAGTTTTATCTTAAACTTCCAAAAACTCAGAAAAAGCAGCCTAAAACGCGCGGTTTTTCAGACCGTTCATGCTTATGGTCGTGTTTTTCGCATTTTTTTTGCTAATTCGTGATTTGTTTGCTTTGCGAATATTAAATTAATTTATCATACTACTAATATAAATTAAATTTGGTAGTATAACTAATATTTTTGTGCAAGATTTTTCTGATCAAAAAATGTGCATATTTTGGAAAAAAAAATTAAAAAGGACTGGGTCTACCTACAAAAAAAGCTTCAAGCACGGCTTCAATTTCCCCCCCTGACTTAGCCTTCCAGTTATTATTAGAGTTCACTGATATAAACATACAAAATCACTGTAAAATCCAGGGGGGGTTGAACTTTGTCGCCCACGAACATTCGAGCCACGGGTCAGTGGAAACCCCCATGAAAATAGGTCGATTGTGGTCAAATCCGCCATGTTTTTGGCACACACTTTCGTCGAGAGCACGATCTCCAGATATATAAGTATAGCTCAGTGGTCTGAACACAGTTACGTGGTCTAAATTTAGTCCTGCTCTCCTGATTGGTCCGTAGTTGTATGCATTGGTTATTTTTTGCATGCATTGAGTTTCTTAAATGTGATTGGTTAAAGCTCTTGTATATATTGCTGCAATACCATCATTTCGGCATTTGGTCGCAATTCTGATTGCGTGTGGGACAAGTTGTGTGTCAGCTGTAAAAGTTGAATTCAAGCAAGGTAAGTTCTTACAGTAAATATTGTTCAGTTTTCTTTATAAAGTAAATCTACTGCCACTCTTCTATAAGACTTCTGGGAACATGATTGAATAAAGACATCAAATAACCAAGCGACTGAAGTATTTACAAGTTTCGTTTTGTGACATCGTGGCGCTTTGCCGCCCATTCACAAATCTTGCGTCGAAAGTGCATTTGGTTCGATAAATAAATACACTGTATGTATAAGGCTCTTTTTAAATAGGACTGGACGAACTCTGATACCGTGCTCAAGTAATAAACGATTTTTGGAATCGGGGCCATGATTTATAACGTCGCACAAACGTTATAGCAGCAAAGTAGAGGCTGTTTTCGCAGGCTAATCCGTTGTTCAAGCGTACGAATTCTCGTGTGAACAGTGAAAGCAGACGAATGCACGAATTGATGGTAAACAAGCGACAATTCCGGGGGGATTTCGAATTCGTACGACAGCTTCGTAAAACATGGTCTCGTTACTATTGGCTAAATCGGTGGCATGACTAAATGACTGCTTTTCTTTATATATTACAGTAAACCGTAGTAATATACATGGTTTATATATAGTTTATTTGTATTTATCTAGTTTCTGTTTTATCCTTTAATAATAAATTATTTTGTAAATGTATTACTAGTAAATAACTAACTACTATTAAACCAGCATATATGGTGTAAATATTGCACTCCTGAGAGTCGTGTTAATAGAATACTTAACATGGTTATTTCGTAATTTTTATTCATGCAACAACATTTCCAAGTAATGTAGTATCTCCCCTTGACAAGTAAAATTGTCTACACGCGTAAAAATCATCATGTTGATGCATGTTGTTCAAAACAGGAGCGAACAATGTTGTGCTGCACCCTGTGAACAATATTGTTAACAAGTTGTTGAACCATCAACATTGTTGCAACTTGTTGACAATCATGTTAACAACTTGCAACAGTACTGATGGTTGAACAACTTGTTAAGGGGCAGACCATTAGAAATCCCGGGAGGGGGGTGAAAATTAAAAAAAAAAAATTTGTGCAAAGGAAAATGCCTGGAAAAAAAATTCGTGCAGCCATTACGTCAGAGAAAAAAAATTCGTGCAAGCAAACAGCGAAGTAGAAATAGTCTTGAAAAAAAATTTGTGCAGAGGTTAAATGCATTAAAAAAAATTCCTGCAGAGACGCGAGACTGAAAAAAAAATTTGTGCCGCAAAAATTTTATACCCCCCCCCCCCCCCCC